CTTGCATGGTGATGCCTGTCAGGCTTTCAAAATCAGCCAGCAAGGCCAACCCACGGGAAGTTTGGTCATCCCCATCGCTGAGCTGCCTTTCTGGCACAGCGAGCACTGCGTCAAAGACCGGCCCAACCAAAGCAAAACCATGTTTAGGCAACAGGTCGCAGAACTGTCGCATAGCTGTGCGTTCCTTGTCGAACAACAAGAAGGCCATTGTAGATGTTTCTGGACGAGGCTTTTTTTGCTTCTTTCATAGCTTGTAGGACCTGGGGAAATTTCTGACATAGCAGCTCTCTCAGTTTCATGGCGTCTGCTGCTAAACCTTCTAGCAATGGGCAGGTGACGGGGAGCCCCGTTGCCCGCGATGGAAAAGCAAAGCCGAATCAGGCCATCAAAAGGGCTTTCTTGGCATCATGTTCGGGCAAAGAGAACCAGCTCATGACCACTTTGCGCCACTCCGCTTTGGAAGCGTAGTAGCGGCGAAAGCATGGCAAGTCCAGCCCATACTGACGGGCAAAGTCCAAAGCAAAGTGCACCACGGCATTTGGCACGTCGAACTCCTTTGTTCCCGGAGGGCTACCGCAATTCCTTGCGGCCCGAGACAGACTTGGGAAACTCACCCATGGGAAGAAGGCTCTCCCAAGAGATTCTCCGGCAACCTTTTTTTGATGACCGGTGCATGGAACAACCATGACGCCAGCGCCCTCGTCGCGGCCATCTCTTGCACACTGTTCGGCCACTTGCGTGGCATGTTGTCCTTTGACTCCGGGCGCAGCGGTCCCAAAATTTTGCAGGCCGTCCACATTGACTCTGCAAGAGATGGTCCAAGAGTCTCCCTGGGGGAAGCCGATTGGTTCATCAAAGTTATCCGCATTGGAAGTCTCCGCGGCTGAAGGCCAAGCCCAGTCTGCCCAAGTACCGGCGACTTCTTGGACACGCGTCTCTCCCACAGATGTTTCTAGGCAGCGGTGCCACTTGTTGGGGTCAAGGCACCTGCGCTCAAAGCGACCCGTCTGGCTGCCACCTCGAACAACGCCATCCACCGCGCGAATGAGATGTGGACATGCGGGCAAAGCTTCCTTGAGGCACTCCACTCTCAGCTTCTTGCCAGCCCGGTTTGGGGGAGCTGCGCCAGGATTGGAAGCCAAAGCGATCCTGTTGACGTCAGCCTTAGTTCAAAGCAGCGGTGTAGGAAATGCGAAGCGTGGGGGTACTCGGATCGCTTGTTCTAGTTGTCTAACTAGTGTTACGCGTTTTCCGAATCAGAAGTAGGGTAGCGCAGAAGTACATGTCATGGTGATGATCCGGCCAACAGGAAGATGTCCGGAGCACAAGTCCCTGAGGTCTGGCTGCCGTGAAGAACTGGCTTTGGATGGCTGCGTGAGTGTCTCGGACCAAGCGCTCGGATGCAGATGCAGCGGCGCTAGACGCTGGCTGCGGAGCCCCCGGCCCGCAAGGCAGGTCTTGGTCTGGATGCAGGCTGTCTTCAGTGCGTGTCATTCTGCAAGCATGTTCCTGGCCGGAGGTGCTCCAAATTGTCACTGCATTTCTGAACCCCAGTCACCCGAAGATGAGGGAACAAAAAGTCCTGGAAGAAGCACCATACTGCATCCCTAGAGGCCATGAATTCCTTAGCAGTGGGGTCTGCCTGGAAGACTCTGTTGGCGACGGCCACCTCATCGTGGTTCGCGGTGAACTTGGACCGCATGTAGGTGCAACGGAACCTCCTTCGATGAGAAACCTCTTCCGCCGTTGGCACCTTGGGGATATCCCCAACATTCATAGCCCAGACTTTGCCAGTGTTGGGCCAATGCCCGTATCTTGTCTCAGCTTCGTGGTTTCTCCGCAAAGGGAGCCAGCCACCACCAACAAAGACCTTGACAATGTCTTCCACGAGCCCTTGGTCTCGCTTGCATTCATCAAAAGTGAGGAATGCTGCGTGGATGAAATTGACCCCTTGCACCTGGAACTCTCGGTCTGCTTGGAGCATTGTGCATGGCGCGCAACGGAAGCCGCTGCCGAACACAGCCCGCATGTGGTCGACAAAAATCAGAGTTTTGCCATCGTGGCCACAGCCGACGACGACGTGCAACACATCTGGCTGTCTGACCCGGGCCACCACCAGGGCACATTGGTTGAGCAAGACTTGGAGACCATCAGACCCTGCGAAAGAAGACAGCAGGATACTTCCCTGAGGATCCGATATTGAAAAAAATCAATCTTACGATTGATCCA